ATTTTAGAGCGATTTGCTTATTTTTGCTAATTCAAATTTTATGTTCATAATTATTATAGTTTAAAGAGTAATTATGTATGGTTATTCATAATAAATAAAAGGCTGATTAATCAATCATTTATAATAATAATAATAATAAATTATACATACATATCATAGCCTAACAAAATTCATAAATAAACAAGAACAACCAGAACTTAACAAGGACATAATAATAATAATATAATAATAATAATAATAATAATAATAATAATAATAATAATAATAATAAATTTTGCATTCTGAGAAGGAACAAGGAAAGTATTGACACTTCATGAGTACTTAAAGATACTGTGCTAACCACCGAAAACCTAAACAGAGCAAAAGATAGAATCATAACTTATCTAGTAAAATTGAGTTAATCTATGATAGAAATAAGGACAAATTTGGTTATAATTATTTTGATGTGAATTTTAACAGGATTGGCATACGTTTCCCATAAGAAATTAACATTGAGAATCAGCTAAAACTTTCTACACTGCTCAGCAGAGGGCATCAATAATTGAACATTAATCATAGGGGCTTACCCTCTCCATATCCCTGCCTCTTTAGTACTGAAGTCATGAATAATTCTACAGGGCGTCTCTGAAGGTCCTTACGTGAAATGGTACCCTTAAAAATAAAATTATTTTAAAATAAAAGAAATATCTTTTCCACTTACTTTTCCGGTTGTTACTCCATGTAGATTGAAGAACTGTCTGATGTAGTCCTCTGATAATGCTTTAGGAGCATCAATCTTATTCCCTAGGATCAGTATGGGGGCATCTGAAACCTCCTCATCTGATAAGAGACCCTGCAAGTGGAAGAGAGGGAGAGAGGTATGCTACTGGGCAAGTGTAAAGTTGTACAATTAACTGATTTAGGTAAAGGAGTGATTCTCCTGGTAATTCTGATATCAATGGGTCACAATGTACTTAAAAATAATGAATCATAACATTGCATGTCTACTAGATGTTCCCTCATTTTAAATCATGAACACTTAAAGTTGAGCTAAAACACACATGTATATATAAATTGAAATCATATAATAATTATTAGTTTACTTCTAGTTCTGCTTTTGACTCAGGCAGTCTTTCTTGATCTTGCACATCTATAAGGAATACTATCGCATCAACTGCTGGAAAGTAGTCCTTCCAGACTTTACGAGCTATGGTCAAAGGAAGTGAGATAATGAATGTCATTATGAAGGAGGCATTTCCTTTTACCTGTTTTATGGCCTCCTAAATCAAATGTTGTGAATGTTACTCCTTCTATTCTTAACTCCTCTTTTGCTAAGGGAGAGAGAGGGAGAAAGAATTCTCATAGTATATTTACTAATATTATTGTTGGATGGTGCCAAGTCAATTGGACAACCACAATTCATATTGATCCAACCATTTTAATAATAAACCATTTTTAATATTGTTAAAACAATATACATAATTATTATTTCTTGGTATGCCCTTACTGGGGTAATAGGTTGGTACAGGTTGTCCCATTCTGTCATCCTTAAGCATGTGAAGGAGGGTTGTCTTCCCGGCATTATCCAGACCCAAGAAGACAAGTTTTGCTATGGACTTTCCACAGACCTGCAGGGCAAATTTAAAATCAAACAAAACAAAGTGATGATGAATTCCCAACTCTGTATCTCCTTACCGAGATAGCCCAGGGCTCCAGTAAACCAGTCCCATAGAAAAGACATTTTCCTTTATTTGTAAGAGGGATAACAATAGAGAAAGGATGTGGATTACCTTTAGCTTTTCTCTTTTCTTTCTATTCTGTGCGGCTTGGGTTATTTTATTTATTTTTAACTCTTTGTCGACTTAAATGACGTCATTCAGGCAACGACATGCCACGTGACCAATAGACCACGCCCACTACTAAAAGTTTTTTTCGAGTTCTTTCTTTTGCTTTTTAAGTTTTTTTGCTTTTCTACTTTGATGAAAATCTTTAAATTAGCCTCCAGTTTAGCTCTACAAATATTAACGGCATGTTTTTAGCAAAATGAGATCACGTGATGGATCACGTGACTTCCAGCTGTTTTCATGAAAATTGTACTGTAGAATACTGAGAATGGGAAAATTGCTGCAACATGATAACCAATGTTTGCAAACAATAATAAAGTAAAATACCTAAGCACATAACACGTAGGCCAACGTGTCAGTCATAAAATCACGTGACTTGATCACGTGATAGTGGCATTAAATAGACTATCCCTGCATGTGGGGTAATTGTCATTTTGTTGTCTGAAAGAACTCTCTCTTCCTCCCTCTCTCTTTCTGTTAGTAAATGTCTCAGAGAAGAGTCTATCCTAGTAATCCTTCAGTGCCAACAGGGCCCTCTCCTGGTTACCATGGAAACCTACCCCAGCAGCAGCAGCAGCAGGGACAGTACCCTCCTCCTCCTCCTGGGGGTGTGGCTAATAAACTAGGGGCAATGAGTTTAGGTAAGATGGGATATTTGTCTGATGCATCAGAATTTTTATAATTTGCATTCTAACAAAAACGTGGAAAGTGTAATTAATAATAAATTATTTTAATTATTATTTCAGGTCCTCCTGGTCCCCCGTCTGGTTCATTAATGGGAGCTCCACCCACCTCATTAATGGGTTCTCCCCCTCAACCAACTGTTAACGGCCCACCTCCTTCATTAATGGGAGCTCCACCCACCTCGTTAATCTCTCATTCATCAGCTGGTCCCTCCTCCCTAATGGGTCCTGGCCCACCCGGTCCTTCATTAATGGGTCCTCCTCCTCCTCTTAGGCCACACCCAATGGGACTAATGGCCCCACCCACACAACTAGGAGGAGGCCCTCCGACTAATATTAGACCTCAGCCACCGCCCACTCAATTAGCAGGACCTCCACCTATAAATAGACCTCAATTAGTGGGTCCTCCTCCACCCACTCAATTAGCTGGTCCTCCACCCACTCAATTAGCAGGTCCTCCTCCACTTATTAATAGGTCCCAGCCACCACCCACTCAATTAGCAGGTCCTCCTCCACTTATTAATAGACCTCAACCACCGTCCACTCAATTAGCGGGACCTCCACCTATGAATAGACCTCAATTAGCAGGTCCTCCTACTCAATTAGTGGGTCCTCCACCCACTCAATTAGCTGGTCCTCCGCCCACTCAATTAGCGGGTCCTCCACCCACTCAATTAGCAGGTCATCCTCCTAATATTAGGCCTCAGGCTCCGCCCACTCATTCTCAGTTCCCTCTTCATCCTTCTCTAGCTCCTCCCACTTCAGCGGCCCAAGGTCCCCCGACAGGATCTCATTCCCATACTCTCATGTCTCATACCGGTACTCATGGTATGTACATGGCTGAAGGTGGGGGTAGTACTGGAATGAGTATGGCAGGTCCACCTCCACTGGGTCACATGACAGCTCCGCCTCCTAACAAGTATCCTCATTCTGGACCAACTGGTTTGACTGGTTCTACTCTCCAACCTCAACCAGAACCTCAACCAGTAAGACACCGGAAAATATTTTATTTATAAAAACCACTCTCTCCCTCTCTCTCTCTCCCTCCCTCTCTCTCCCTTAGCCTCCTCCTCAGCAGGTGCTTCCGAACATTCAGCCTGTCAATGTGCAAGAAGTCCGTAATATCTTACCTGCCACACCCATCACAGTCTCCACCCCACTACTACCGCAGCACCTACGGGATCTTAATCCGGATCCTTCCGTGTTCTGCTCTACAATGTCGACTGTTCCAGCTACTTCTGGACTCCTCAATAAGATGAAGTTACCCTTTGCTATTCACATCCATCCATTCAAGGACAGCAAGGCTAGGGTATGTGTACATAACTACATCTACTTTATACTTTATATTGACTGAGTGATGACCACTTGTATTCCTTAGGAGTGTCCGGTCATTAATCCCAGTACTATTGTAAGGTGTAGGGTCTGCCGAGCTTATATCAATCCTTTTGTATCTTTTGTGGACCAGAAGCATTGGAGGTGTAACTTCTGCTTTAGAAATAACATTGGTGAGGATTAGTTTCAAAGCATAATAGTTTATAAAACCCTCAAAATATAAGTATAAAAACATTTTAAATTCTGTTTCTCTTTTTCTCTTTCTAGTTCCTGATAATTATGATTATAATCCTCAGTCTGGTAAGTCAGGTGATCACTCCTTCCATCAGGAGTTGCGTCATTCGTCAGTTGAGTACATAGCACCTTCGGAATATATGGTACGTGGAGGGGCAGAGCCTGTTATTTTAACCCTTTAATGGGCAGATGTATTATCATATCAGAAAATGTAATGAAAATGGATCTTTTACATTTTAGATGACATACCATATATTACCTAATTATCTGCACCTCTAGGTCCGTCCTCCTCAACCTAGTGTATATTTTTTTGTTATTGATGTAACCTACCCAACCATACAATCAGGTGACTGTCACGTGACCCACTAGTAATTATTATTATTTCTTAAAGGTCTTCTTGATGTATTCTGTGCTACACTGTTGGATTGTATCAATAAGTTACCAGGTGACAGTCGGACTATGGTTGGATTCCTCTCATTCGACCACACCCTCCACTTCTACAATCTCAAAGTACCCAGACTCATGAAGAGTAGACACAGGGAACATGTACTTACTGAACTCTCTTTCTTTCCCTTTAGCCGTCCCAAGCTCAGCCTCAGATGCTAGTTGTATCAGATTTGGAAGGTATAATTCATTTATTTGTTTATTTGTTTATTTATTTATTTGTTTGTTTGTTTATTTGTTTATTTATTTTTAGATCCTTTCATTCCATCTCCCACGTCGCTCCTCGTTAATTTGAGAGAATCAAAAGAAGTAATTTATTATTATTGTTGTTATTTATTAATTCTTGTTTACATTTTTTGTTTCTCCAGCTGGTGAAGTCTTTCCTGCAAGATTTCCCTCGTATGTTTGTCGATCAAAGAAACCTTCAAGTGCTCTAGGACCTGCTTTAGCCATTACTGAGAAACTGCTGGTAAGAAGAGATGCAGCACCACACACTGACTGCTCCTTGTAATGACCAGCAGCCTGTCTGACTGGAGGTGTGTGTGTGTATAAGTAATGTAATACCTGAGGACTGAGATATCTGCTTGAGGTGAAGCTGAGGGCAGATATCAAGGGACTCAGGTATTACATTACTGATACTCACCTCCAGACACACACACACTGGTCACTCCACATAATTCATTGTATTTACAACATGTAAAATATATTATCCATCTCTTTCCATTAGCACCAGATCGGTGGTAGGATCACCGTGTTGATGAGTTCACTGCCTAACGTAGGACCAGGAGCACTTAAAGTGAAGGAAGCTACTGGAGCTACTAAAATGGTAACCAACCAAACAGATATAATAATTATCCCCCTGTCTCTCTCTCTCCCTCTCTCTCTCTCAGGATCAGCTCAATATGTCTGCCAGTACTGATTTCTACAAGAAGTTAGCTCTGGATTGCTCCGCCCAGCAAATAGCAGTTGATCTTTTCGTCTTCTCAAGCAAATCCCAAAGCATTGACCTCATGACAGTCTGTAAGATAATCATCATCATGTATTGAGTAGGTGTGGTTTGTTTCCATAGCAACCGTTGCCAAGTTCTCCTCCGGTCAAGTGAGGTACTATCAGAGCTTCCACTCGGAGAGGGCCAGTGTCAGGGAACAATTTGAAAAAGACTTTAAGTAAAATTAACATTTTATTTTAAAATTATTTTATTTTATTTGTAGACGGTATTTGACTCGTAATATTGGGTTTGAGTCTGTAATGAGAATAAGATGTACTGAAGGTATCTATTCATTTATTTATTTGTTTAGTTATTTATTTATTCATTTATTTATTTGTTTAGTTATTTATTTATTCATTTATTTAATTATTCATTTATTTTATAAATACAGGTCTTAGCCTCCACACGTTTCATGGTAATTTTTTTGTCCGCTCTACCGACCTCCTTTCCCTCCCTAACGTGAACCCTGACCACGCCTACTGCATGAACATGGCCATTGACGAGAGTCTCAAGGACTTCCCAATGGTTTGCTTTCAAGCAGCTCTCCTCTACACCTCTTATAGAGGTACGGAATAATAACAGAGTGGGAACATTCTCTACTTGTACTTGTGCTACTAGTGGTAGTATATTAATGATTGTTTTAATTTCTTGTTTAGGTGATAGACGTATCCGTGTTCATACCTTATGCCTGCCTGTGTCAGACCAGCTGGCTCAGTTGTATGCTGGTCTTAACGTAGTACCCATTGCTGGAGTACTTGCTAAAATGGGATCCGACAGACTCACTACCGCTTCTCTTGGGGATGCCAGAGATGTATGTGTTCTTGTCTCATGTACAGTATCATTGTTAATTAATGTGCAGTAGTTTAGTTATAGCAACTTTGGATGAATACTCAAGGCTATACTGAAATCATCCCAAATTTTTATTACATTTTCTGATACATATTGATGTCCTTAAGCTGCGTAGAAAGTATGAGTTGATTCCGGCTTTAATTTTTTGAGTTGCAGCCATTTTAAGAAAATGCCAAAATTCTATAAAATACCCAAGGATATAATAGCCCATGGTTTTTCCAAAAAATGGCTCCAAAATTTTATTACATTTTCTGATACATATTGATGTCCTTATGCTGTGTAGCAAGTTTGAGCCAATTCCGACTTCAATTCTTCAAGTTACGGCCTTTTTAAGAAAATGCCAAAATTCTAAAAAATACCCAAGGCTATAGCCCATGGTTTTTTCCAAAAAATGGCTCCGAAATTACCCCAAATTTTTATTACATTTTCTGATACATATTGATGTCCTTATGCTGTGTAGCAAGTTTGAGGCGATTCCGACTTCAATTTTTTAAGTTACGGCCATTTTAAGAAATTGTCAAAATTCTGAAAAATACCCAAGGCTATAGCCCATGGTTTTTTCCAAAAAATGGCTCCGAAATCACCCCAAATTTTTATTACATTTTCTGATACATATTGATGTCCTAATGCTGTGTAGCAAGCTTGAGGCGATTCCGACTTCAATTTTTTGAGTTACAGCCATTTTAAGAAAACGTCAAAATTCTGAAAAATACCCAAGGCTATAGCCCATGGTTTATTCCAAAAATGGCTCCAAAATCACCCCAAATTTTTATTACATTTTCTGATACGTATTGATGTCCTTAAGCTGTGTAGAAAGTTTGAGTCAATTCCGATTAGAAAATTTCAAATTATGGCCATTTTAAAATATTCAAAAAAACTAGATTTACTGATACGTGTAACATTAATTAATAATTATACAACAAATAAAGAAATGTCTTGAGTGACCCAATGCATCTCATATCTCATTACAGGCTCTTGTTAATACAGTCATTGATGCTACTAAAGCTTATCGCTCAAACGTTGCCTCAACAATGCAAGGAGGAGGGGCTAAGCTAACACTACCAGTGTCACTGAGACTACTACCTTTATTCATACTGAGCTTATTGAAGAATGTAAGTCATGAACAATGTCGATATTATTGTGACATTTTAACCTCTCTCTCTCCCCCATCCCCCCTCTGTCTCTTTTTCTCAAGATTGCCTTCACTCTTAGCAACAGGCAGAATACCGACTGTAGGTCGGCCACCATTAGCACTATACTGACATTACCTCTGGACTGGCTAATCTCATTCTTCTATCCTAAACTCTATGCACTTCACACACTATCAGATAAGGTTAGCTGTATAGTAGTTACTGCATGGAACAGTGTACAGTCTAAATATAGTATGATTATTTAATAATAATAATAATAATAATTAATTTTATTTATTTATTTATTTATTCATTTATTTATTTATTAACAGGATACAGTGGATTCTGATGGGGAGGAGCTCTTAGCTCCGCCCATTTTACAACTCTCGGCTGAAAAACTAACACGATATGGAATATTCTTAATGGACTATGGAACAGTATGAGCATTTGAAAAATAAAATGAATTATTTTAAATTTTTTTTCATATTTTAGGGTATTTATATTTGGGTCAGTAAAGAAGCACCTGCTGATGTTATTAATAATATTTTTGGAGTTCCTCATTTTGGGGCAATACCTGAATCAATGGTAAGGACTCTCATGAATATGAATGAGGTTTCTAAAAATAGTATCATATGTTTATTAATAGTCACAACAATGACATCATTGTTATTTTTAGACCTCCCTCCCTTTGCTTGAGAATAATTTGAATCGATTAACCAATTCGCTAATTTGTCAGTTACGGTTGTCACGGCAACACTTTATGCCGTTACTCGTCATTCGGTAAGAAAAAAAATGTTTAAAACATTATAATTTTTACAAATTAAAAAAATTTTTTAGCGAGGATGGCCCCCATCGTTTGCTATTTATTAATTACCTGATTGATGATAAAACTGAAGACGGGACTTCTTATTACGAATTTCTGTCTCACATCTCTCGGCAGTTAACAAAATAATAAACTGTCCATTAGCAAAAGGGCTCGTTGTGTGTTAATTAATTAATTTATTATTATTATTAATTATTATTGATTATTGCAATTAATGAGATTTCTCTATACTTGATTGTGAATGGTTTGCCGGCTAATTCTAATGTCCTCGTGTGGATTTTCACAACAAATAAATATATAAAAGTAGCTTATATTTTCAGTACAACACTGAGCAAAAAAAGTAGAAGATTTTAGTGATTCATTCTTTAATTTTGTGAGCAATTGTCTCATCCCTTGGCTTCTTGAGGAAACCAATGATGTCAGATCCTGGAAATATAGTGCTGCCTGGCTCAGAGCTGCTGGATTGAGAGCGGAGAGGAATAATGACGTACGATGTCACAAGATTGATATGCTGCTGCCTGAATTTAACCAAACCCTCAATGCAATGATTGTAAGCTGCAATAAGATCCTTGTTACTTGAATGGGCCATGGTGTACTCTCTTAAATCAGTGGTGTCCATTTCCAGCAGTAACTGACGATGTTCCCTTGGCATGTGCCACCTCATCTTATGAAGATATGGAGTCGATTCAGATTGAAGTTTAATGCCCAGAAATGAGGTGAACAGTGGTATGACAGAGCTTTGAATGCCACTAGCTCCAGTGTATTTCTTAAGGGTATCAGGACTATCACTGCCATCGTACTTCATCCCTTTTGGGTTATCATTGAAATAATGCTGGAAATCGTTAAAGAAGACGACTA